GCAGCCATGAAATCTTGGTGCCAGTGGCCCCTGAGACAGGGAAATTATTCTAGCCAAAGCAACAGGGGAAAAAGTGAGCAAGAAGGGCTGGAGAGCTGGCTCAGTGCATAGCTACTTGCCTACAAGCTGGAGGACCTCAGCTGGGCTCCTCACAGCCCACATAAACGAGGCAGCTACCTGTAAATCCAGCACAGGGAGGCAGGCACTGAGACCCAGGAGCAAACTACCTAGACTAACTCCACACGTGAGCTCCAAGTTCAGTGAGAGACCTAGCCTCAATAAATCAAGCACAGGGTGATCAAAGAAAGATGTGTAATGTCAATTCGGGCACCCACTCCCACAGACATGCAAATACACCTACACATGTGCGGGCACACCGCTCATACATACATACATACATACGTACATACAAAAAAAAGTGAGAAAGAAGAAAGAGGGAAACATATCGGCTTTTTTTTTTTTTTGGTGACATGTGTAGCTGCCAGCCTCACCCCTTCTGGGAGAACACTGAGACCTGGTGCTGCTGGAAGGGTTAGGATCAGAGAGGTTAAACAGCTAGAGCAAGGACACACAGCAAGCCAGGAAACTCTACTCTGCTAATACCCAGGCCATGCTCCTGCCTCAAGGCTGTGCTGTCTTCGAAGTCACTGGCACAGGGAACTGGATAGCATCAGTTCAGAAGAGGGCTTCCCCATCTTGGGTCGTAAGTAAACAATCTCAGACACACACACACACACACACACACACACACACACACACGGAAGAGATTTTAGAGAGAGCCTGGTATCTATCACACAGGGATGAGCTAGAACAGTGACTTTCAACCTTCCTATTGCTGTGACCCTTACAATTCCTCATGCTTTGGTGATCCTCCAACCATAACATTATTTTCACTGCTACTTCATGATGGTAATTTTGCTACTGTTATGAATCATAGTGTAAATATCTGATATGCGGGATGGTCTCAGGAGACCACTGGGAAAGGGCCGCCTGGCCCACAGGCTGACAGCCACTGAGCTAGGACCTTCTGTACTCCTTCCATCTTCTTCAAATATACTCCTCGTCACCCCCCGTATGACATTTAACACCTGCCGCTGAAAGGGTGGGGTGGCAACTTCCTGACCACACAGACTTTGCTACTACTTGGGGTCCCAGACCCCGGGCAGGCAATTATCTGAGGGGCCCTGCCAGGGGGCATGGGGCAGGAAGTACAGCAGGAGAAGGTGACAGGAAGGAAGTTGGTGCTGGGGTGCTAGGCAGCAAGGTCACTCAGGCAGGGACTTGGGACAACTGGATATCTGACGCATAAGCTTTGGGTTCCTGTGGCTCCCAGAGATGGGGTCTGAGGGTTCTGTGAACCCCGCCTAGCTGTGAACACTATATATAATCAAGTCAGTACAGGCTACCCGTGGCTCAAACAGACACCAGTGGCTCCAGAGCCTGTAAAAACCTCAATCCAGGCCATTTTGTTTGAATTCCTGACCGTGGTGGGGGCCAGGCAGCAGGGCATCTATGGTGGGCAAGACAGTCGGCCCATCTCTGCAGCCCATTTCCTCTTCATCCTATTTTTCTAAAGCACACCCTTGCTTGCTCTCCTGAGGTCCAGGGTTGTCTCAAAATCCATGTGTGCCCAAGGATGGCCTTGAACTGATAATTCTGCCTGTATCACCTCAGGTGCTGGGATTAGGTTGGCAGCAAGGGCAACAAGAACTGTAATATATCCACCAAGCAGGGTGGCAAACATCTCCCTTTCCCCACAGAGACACCTGGGTGAACTCTCCCCTTCCCTGGCAAAGCCACCCTGTCTGCTCCTCTAGTATAAGGCCCCGAGGGGCCTTTATGTGAAAGTGTCGCCTAGCCCTGGAGAGGGACAAATGCTTCAGGAAGCCACCGGCTTCCAGGACTATTGTCTACGCCATTCTTCAACCCAAGAATGCCAGACAAACACTCAGGATGTAACTGGGCTGGGAGAGTGTGCCTGCCTAGTGTGTAGGAACACACGCCCACACCTACAGAAGTCAAGTGTTGACGGTAACACACGCAATGTAACCCCAGCACTGGAGCTGTGGAAGGAAGATCAGGAGTTCAAGGTCATCCTGACCAACACAGTGAACTAAAGGCTAACCTGGGCCACACGAGACACCATCTTTGAAAAAGGAAAGAAGGAAAGGAAGGAAGGAAGGAAGGAAGGAAGGAAGGAAGGAAGGAAGGAAGGAAGGAAGGAAGGAAGGAAAGAAGGAAGGAAGAAAGGAAGGAAGGAAGGAAGGAAGGAAGAAAAAAGCCAAGCAAATTCTCTCTTCCCGTGAACAGGAGTAAACAAAAGCTAACTTAACCCAGGTCACACGGGCAGTTCTGAGCAAACGTGAGATGGTTCTGAGATGGTGAAGTGTGTAACCTGGCAGGATGGCTCCTGGGGCTCTGGAGCTGGCTTCCTAGAACTGGGAAGTGTGGGGAGCAGGTTTCCATGCACACTGGGAGAGTTGATGGATGGATGGCGCTGCCTCAGAGTGCCCGGCTACCTGCCCACTGCCGCCTGAAGGTCCCGATCACAAGGCCACATCCTCAGCCACAGGAGAGATGTCCCAGAAGGGTGTCAGTCAGTGAACAAAAGACAGAAATGTGAGGAAAGGAGGAAAGAGCCCTCTGGCCCAGCAGTACTGCAGGGACCCGACTCCACTCCAGGGCCAGCCTGGGGTGCTGCAGACTCTGGTGAACCAACAAACAGCAGCGTTGGCCCCAAGACTCCCAGGGACCAGGAGGCCACACCCACCGGGTTAAGACCCTGCTCAGAATGAGTGCTCGCCATCCCTGCCTTCACATGCATCTATTTGCCCAATGGCTCAAAAAGTGGACGGTGCGTTCCCCAGAAAAGGAGACAAGAGCCTCAAGGGTAAACTGAGTCTGCCGCCCCTGGAACCTGCTAGAACATCCTCAGGGTTCTCTCTGCTGCCCAATCCAGCTACACACAACATCTGTGAGTCCCATAGTAGGGGCAGGAGTGGGGATAAAGGTAAGGGAGTTCAGGAAAAAGAACACTGGGAGTGAGGCCAGCAACTTGCCTTCAGATCTCACCCCATCACCTTCCAGTGCTGGGGTCCTGGGAAAAGCCACAGCTTGTAACCATCCCCACACCTTTCAGTGGAACAGGGGTACCCCCCACCCCCTTGTAGAAACGGCCAGAAGGGAAGTTTCAGTGCTGCTACATGCCCAAGAGAGTCGAGTGTCCCAAACCAGGAGCTACTGTAGAATTAACCTGAGGAGGAGGCTTGCACAGTTCTTAGCTCCAGTCTCTCCAGTCCTTGAGGTGGGTAAGACACACAGAGAAGGAAAAGTAGCATGCGATCTGCTCCAAAGAGCAGGTCATGTCTAAGTCGAGGAATGTGGACAGGCTTTTCTGGAGAACTGGTATTTACAAAAGGCTTGGAGGAGTTAAGGGGTGGGCTGCAGAGCGGACAATGTGTGTGCAGGGCACAATGGCAGACGCCTAGTCACCAGCTTCACCGGGCACAGGTGCATTCCAGCAGGCAGCACAGATACCCCCATACCCTCATCTGGCCGGGGGTACCTGGAAGGGAAGGATTCTGCCCCTTCCACTGAAAGTCACCACAGAGGCTTCTCAGATACGGATGTCTGGGCTTGAGCAAGGTCTTTCCGTCAAAGGCAGATTTGTGGGAGTAGGAACAGGGGCAAGCCAGCTAAGAGCCCATAGCAACAGTCGCAGAAGGCGGGAGTCTGAGCTGACCTGGTCAGGTAGGGTAGGAAGTGTGAGAGAAACCTCTCCGGCCACACCAGCACACCACCTGGACCCCACAGAACCTGCGCCTCCCCTCCCGTTTGGAAGCTCATATGTTCTGGTCCCAGGGACAGACCCCAGCTCAGTGCCCAGAGAGCTATTCTTTGGAGCTCAGAGCACCACCCGCAGTCAGACTGGTGACCGCAGCCATGCACATTCATACTCAGCCCTCAGAACCGGATCTGTCCGGATCTACACTCCATCCTAATTAACACCCACCCCCACCCCCCAACCCCCAGGGACCGACGACCAACAGCCACTGTGTATGAGTCCATTCCTTTCCATCCTGAGAAGAGCAAATGGTCTTGGGCAGCTGAGTCACCTCAGGACACCACGGAAGCCACCTCCCCCTTTCCTGCCCTGGGCTCAGGAGGCAGAAAGCAGGCCTAACTGCCCACAGGTGGAGCAGAGCAACCGCACGACCCCATGCGGCCAACTCCCGCCAAGCCCTTCAGAAAAGGTAGTTTCTCTGGGCCTCACTTTCCATACTTGCAATCTGTGTTCTCTTTACCCATCACCAGTGGAGACAGGAAGGAAAAACGAAAACTAAAAGATCGCCCCGTGGACTTGACCCTGTTCTGGCGTCGGTAAAGTGACTCCTGGGATCTTTACTCTCTCCGTTTTCTTGAGGCTCCTTGGGTAGCTGCCTGTCCCCAGCGCACAGAATATTCTGAAATGGCCTCTGAACACAGCAGGCAGATCCTTGGAAGGAATCTGGGTAAGCGGCAGAGAAGTGACTCACTGCCCAACTGTTAGGCGCCTATTTAGACTCCTGGCCCCAACGACAGCTAAGAGCTCCAGTGTTTCTAAGAAGAAATAGACTGTGGCGCGGAGAAGAAAGTCTTCAGAAGGGGCAACCCGCTCGGGCACGGGGCCAGTGACCCAGTACGGTCCTTCCCGCCTCAAGTGCGCGAAGGGACTTCGCGGCGTCACTGCGAACGGTGCGTCTAAGCCTGGGCTGGGTGTTACCCTCGCCCTGGCTGCCCTCGCAGAGAGAGCCACAGGGCAGTTCTGGGACACAAGACTGCCGGGACCCGAGTTCCAACCTACGCTCCCAATGTGCCAGGTTTCGGGTTTCCCGTGGGTCCCCAAAGGAGCGTGGCGCGTGTCTGCTGGGGATGGGACGGTCCCTTCCGGAATTGTACAGTACCTGGAATGGGCACTTTGTGATGGACGGCAGTCCCCCGTGACCCCAAGAGTCACCCACCTGGGCGGGCACGGTGTGCCCGGTGGCCCACAGCTGCAGTTCCACGACCAGCGCGACCCAGAGGGCGGTGGGCGCCATAGGGACGGCGGTGGCTCCCGCCCTTGCGCCTGGAGCTCGGTGTCCTCTGCTGCTTTCGAGCCGGTGACTGAAAGCGAAAGCCTCAGGCCAGGAGCTAGGGCAGACCAGGGGGCGGGGGAGGGCGGGAATGGGCGTGGCCCCTGGCTGAGGCCACGCCCCTCGCACAGAGTCCGCCCCTCTCTTTGGGCACCTCCACCTGGACTTCCTCGGGAGCTCTCTGGGCCTCCTCCAGCACCTCTTAGAGCCCCGGGTGACTCAGTCTCACTCCTCCGTCACCCTTCCAGTAGAGGAGAAGAGGCTGGGGCGGGAGACAGGTACCCACAGTATTTGTGACTGGGTGCCCAGGTTGGGCCTCCCCTCAGTTAATCTGTCTCCATAGAGCACCCTAGATCTCACCAACTTCCCAGTCCCAGTGGTGGGACACTGGGGAAACAGTCTCAAAACTGACACCCGCGCTGGTGAACCAAAGCGTTCTAGACCATTCACTCATTAGACCCTAGAGCCAGACTAGCTACATGTGAGTGTTTGCACTTCTCGGTGAGCTTCCTAATACAAGCTATGCAATCTGGCTCCTGTACCACGTGGCATGTCTGTTGGCTCACAGTGCACAGCCACAGTGTGGATAACATTGCGTGGGTACAGCTGATTTTATTACGTTTCATTTGTTCGGGTTCCCTTGAGCAGGCTTGGAGTCTCAGGTGAGAGCAGTCCCCTTGGCTGACAGGTAGGCAGAGGCTGAGGGAGAAGCCATGCTTCCCTGGAACTGGCCTCATCAGAGCTCTCGCTGCTGTAGTCTGGCAGTCCTCGGGCTAGCACGTCTTCCTACAGCCCTGCACATGGGCATTTGGAGAGGAGGGGTGGGCAGGGAGGCAGGCAATTATTCTGCCCCCTCCTTGTACACACACACTCTCACTGTAGGCTGACAGGAGAGCCCTGCAGCCACCGGCCCTCCTGAGGACAAGCTCAAGGATGGTACCTCTAGGTGCTGGGGGAGAAACTGGGAAGTGACCCTTGGGAGGATGGAAAATCCCACCAGGTCAGGAGCCTGGGAAATCACCTGGTTCCCACATGTTTCTGAGACACGGGACACAGCCCACAGTTTCCACCCTGGAGAAGGGCAGCCTCCGAGCAGAGAGGAGAGTTCTGATCTTTAAGCCTCCTGTGGGAGATGTGGAGGTCGGGGGTTGGGGAGTGCTCTGGTCCACCTGAGAAAGCCAGGAACGAGGTGTCACCTGTCAGAAGCAGGAGTCAGTGGTGTGGCCTGCCCTGGATCCTGGATCACTCACCGGCTCCAGCCAGGGAGCAGCGCCACCAGCACCACACATGGGAGACCATAGGCTAGTGCCTTGTCTTAGTCTGCATTCCGTGGCTAATACTGCAGTACCAAACTGTGTGCGTTATGAAGAGAAGGGGATGATTTGGGCGCATGGTTCTCTGGTCCCAGGTCAAGGGGCCACAGTCGACAATGGCCTTACTGGGAAAATCTATATAGCGAGAGGCAAGGGGTAAACGTGAATGGTGTGTGTGTGTGTGTGTATGTGTGTGTGTGCATGTGTGTGTGTGTCTGTGTGTGTGTTCCTCTTTCTCTTCTCCTAAAGCCACCAATATCAGTCACCCTGATGGCTTATTTTTAAATGCTAGGCATGGCTTTTATTTCTTTATCAGCTGTTATTCTGTGAAAAGGACCACAGCCTGCCCCGACCCCATCCATCAGCTAACTTAGAACCTGTGCAGGTGCCTTGCAAACGCTCAGCAGAGATCACTTGTGCTCTCACCAATAACGCTTAGTAATCGTGAAACTAGCAGTTACTGGAAGGCTACTCTGGGTCAGCAACACATGTCTCCTGGTACACATGGTCTTGCACATGTAGGACCTTTCACAGCTAGGAGAGGCCGTGGGTTCAAACCCAGTTTAGCTGCCTTCGTTGCCAAGGGGCTCCTACCCAGCCCAGTCACTGCTCATATTGTTACACCGTACAGTCCTGTGGGATACAGGCACACCATCCTCCTGGCTAGTCCCTTGGTACCTAGAAAACACATAAAAGAACTGCTCATCAAGGTGGATGTGAGTAGGACTAATGCTAAGAATACACAGGAGGCAATAGAAAGATGAAAGCTAACCAGACAGGCCTTTAATTCCAGTACCAGGGAGGCAGAAGCAGGTATAGCTAGGTCAGTGAGTTCAAGGCTAGCTTGATCTACATAGTGAACACCAGGACAGCCAGGGCTGCATAGAGAAAACCTGTCTCAAAACACCAATATATCAGAGACAGACTCCAGTAGAATCCCATCAATCCTTGGCGCTGCCTACCCGACCATGCATCTCTTAGCCCATCAGCCCTAAAGTACAGAAAAGGCCCATTGTTTTTATATCAGATCAGCAGAGACAGGGTGGTAGACAGGCCAGGGCTCCCCAGAGCCTCTGAATCTGGCCCCTCCCCATTTCCCAGGGCAGCCCCAACCCTCCGAGAGCCCCTGTCATCTCTCACCCTGACAAGCTGACATCTCTGCTTCTGTAAACAGAAGACTCACCTTTGAGAGGCAGGGCACGCAGGGTTGCTCATGCTGCTAACTGAACACTTGCTGGATGCCAGGCTGCCTGGCAAGCCTCTGGAAGGAAGCACTGCAGCTTCAGCCAGCATTGGTTTCAGCCTCTGAGACACCCACCTGTATGCACCCAGAGAGAATGGGCCAAAAATTGCCCCCCCAGAGCCCCAGTGCCAGCATCCCCTGGCCTTTTTTTTTTTTTTTTTTTTTTTTTTTTTTTTTTTAATGTGGTGTGCCTGTGTTGGCCCACCACTGCTCGTAAGGTTTGAATGACAAGCCAAACCATGATTCTACCCAAGTTCACCTTGGGGAAAGCAATGAGTCTGGTGGACTTCCTGACAGAGCGGGGTGAGCCCAAATCAGCCACACTGGAAAGTCTTCACCAGCGTGGACAGTGGCTTCCACATAGCTGCACAGAATTCCTCTTCTAGTCTTCCGCAGTCAAGTGCTCTAGTACTGCTGGGGGCACACCCAGGCCCCCAGGAGGAACGCAGACAGAACTGTGCACAGACGTCTTGGAGGACTGGCTGGGAATGTCAGGTGGGAGGATCCAATGCCCCTCCCACCCCGTTCCTCGGATGGGCTCTTCGGCAGACCTGCGTTTTCCCGGAAGACTGCATTGTTTTCTAGGAAGAATGCCTCCTGCAACAGCTCCTGTGATGGCAGTGGTGGGCGCACACTCCGAGGTACGTACACGCACGGGGACCAGAAGTTATTGTCGAAGGTCATCCTCACTTCTCTGTATTTTGAGGTAGGGTCTCTCACTTGAGCCCAGCACTCACCTATTTGGCTGGCTGGTCTAGCTCCCTTGCACTACAGACCCCCTGTTTCTACCTCCTGACCAGCAAATCCACTACGCTCCCCCACCACATGGGTCCTGGGAATCGAAACAATGGGTCTCACATACATACGGCACGGCAAGTATTCACTGGGCCATCTCCCCAGACCCTTGAGCTGATTGTTGAGGGGGTTGTTTTAATGAGCGCGCGCATGCGCGCGCGCGCACACACACACACACACACACACACACACACACACACACACGGTACTGAGAGAAACCAGCAGAGGGTTTAGGTACAGCATGCAATAGCTTGAGGTGTGTGTGCCAGGACAGGCAGCTTCTACTCGTCTGCGTGGACTCTTAGAAACAGACACAAAGCAAGCTCCTCCAGGGGCACAGTCTCCATAGGGCTGCTTCTGAACGAGGGAATCCCTTGTCCTTCCCCACTCTGGTCCCAGCCAGGCCCTTTCTTGCTGACTCTTGTCCCTGCTTATCTCCATACCCTGAGTGTGGTGGGCCAGCCCCTTGGTGAGTCACAGACTAAAATCACAGAACAGGAAGCTGTGCCTGAGTTAGCCACAAGTTCACAACTGTCTCTCTCCTGTTGTCCTCTGAGACACACACACCTAGAGCAGATGTTACAGGAGGTTCTGAGCAGTCTGCCATGGTGCTGAGAACTGAACCCTGAAAGAGCAGCAAACACTTGTAACTGCTTAGCCATTTCTCCAGCTCCTTATTTCAACCTCTTTTACTTAATCACTAAACTAGAGGCCTTTGACTCTGAGCTCCGGTTCTTGCTCATGTAGTTTCTCCCCAGAGACAACTGCTTTGAGTTTACGGTTTCTCTGGTCTATTTTCTGCCTTCCTATGAACACAAACAACACAGAGCATTACAGTGAGCCCTCAGACCTGTGGGCTCCACCTCCTAGAGTTTACTCAACCAGGGACCAGGCATGCTCTAGAAAGCAAACAAGCCAAAACATTGCGTGTGCATACTGAATACATTCAGACCTTCCCCCCACCCCCGGCATTATTGTTTATTCTCTAAACTCATATTGGTGTTAGAAGTACCTTACAAGCAGTTGGAAGTCTACAGGCAAATGTGTCACCTTAAAGCACCACATTCTTTTGCATAAGGTACCAGAACACATACGGTTTGAGTATACTGAGAAGCAGGGATGCTGAACATGAGCATCCATGGACTTGAGTGTCTGCAGGAACGGGTCCTGGAAGCCACTTCCAGGAGACAGGGAAGGGCGCCTGTGTTTCACAGGCGTGTGTAATGACCTACACAAACCCAACGGCAGGAGCGTGTCCCACCTGTAGACAGCACTGTCTTTGAGATGAGAAGATGCTCACGTTGCTGACTGAGTTCAGTTCTAGCTTCTCCTCCACCTGCTGTGTGCATTTGGGCAGTGTCCTTGCCCCAAGGCCTATCCCTTTTTTCATTGATTCCCCTGTTGTGGACTTTTGGAGACATGCACTGTCCCATCTCTTGTACTGCCAAACACAGTCTTTCAGAGGCACAGGAGAGTTTCCCCCGGTGGTAAACCTCGAAAGTAGGGCTGCTGGAGGGAGGTGATGCACTTTTTCATTTTCACTGGGTCCTCCTGTGAACCAGACTCCCAGGATGCACATCTGCAGTGTCCTTTCATCTGTTTCCTTTTGTAACTACTCTTTTCTCTTCTCCCCCATCTCTTTGAAATTTTTAAAAATGTCTTTTTAAAATT